AAATGGAAAACCACCTTGTGGTAGCGTGAAAGAAAACGGCCCCCAAAGGGAGCTGCACTATGAGGAGGTGTGGTTTTGTTGGAGGAAGTGTGTCTCTATAGGGGTGGGCTTTGAGGGCTCTCGCTCAAGCTTCTCTCAGTGGGACCCTTAGTCGACTTCCTGTTGCCTGTAAGATGTAGCACTCTCAACTCCAGCACCATGTCTGCCTGCATGCCGCCATGCTCCCTCTGAACTGGTAAGTGATCCACCCCAATTAAATGTTTTCTTGGTAAGAATTGCTGTGGTCATGGTGTCTCTTCACAGCAATGCTAACTAACACAAAATTGCTAAGACACACCCTGAGTGAGCAGGTACAGAAGAAGCACAAGCTCACTAGTAAGCTGTTATCTGGGTCTCAGGGAAGGACACAGGCTCTGCTCCAAACCCAAAGGGCAGGCAGAAACCGTTAAGACTGCAGTATAGTGGGTAGTGCTGGGACAAGCAGTTGGTGGACATGCGGCACATGCCACACCCCTAAAGGAAACGAAACTGTGTGACCACATGTCTACATGTGACGGACTCTGTAGGCGCTACAGGGAAATAAAGAACAAGATTGGGCAAGAAAACTGCCTCCTATGGTTTGTTGTATACCTTGAACTCTTCCACACACTGCGCCTATTTTGTTTTTAGCAGAACAAAGCACAGTATCAGGAGCCCATCACAGTGGCTACCTGGACAGGCCACATCCATAGCCCCTCCTTGCATGAGGGGTGCCTTACCAAGAGGCCTCCTACCTGGGGCCGAGCACACCAACATGCTGCGTACAGCCCTGTGTTCTCGGTATGTGGAACACAGACAGGAGGGTCAAAAGTTTAAGATCAAGCCTGGTGTGGAGGCGCACGCCTTTAATCTCAGCGCTTGAGGGGTAGAGGTAGATGGATCTCTGTGAGTTCAAGGCCTGCATGTTTATGTGGCAAGTCTGAGGACAGCCAGGGATATGGGAGACACTGTCTCAAAAAAAAAAAAAAAAAAAAAGCACAACTTATCCACGCTAACCTAACCTAGTTAGAGTCTAGTAACCAGGATCTTAGAAACAAGCTAGCTGTCCTGGGAGCTCTCTTCTGGCACTGTCACCCTCCCATCCTTGCTGTGTGACCATGTGGCAATGCTGGCTTCTCTATAAACAAACCTAGTCCTGGGCAGAAAGGGAGGCTGCTTTGCCCAGGACTGGGGCTTACCACAAGGGCTTGTCTTGAAGCCCCTACAACCAAGGCAGGGAGAAGACAGGGTAAGAGGTCACTCACCCATCTCAGGGTTCTAGAAACCTTGACCCCACAACCACCTCCAACCTCAGCCTCAAGTGTTGGCAAGGTGTTGAGGTCAGGTCGGGGACCCTGACACACAAGTACGAGACCTAAGCAAGGGTCAAGGGGAATCCCCGACTTAAAGGAAACATTTTAGCTGCCTTCAGGTATGGAAACACCAACTAAAAATAAGTATAAAAAGCATCTTTCGTGGCTGGGTACGTTGCTCAGTAGAAGTCTAGAATATATGAAGATTCTGGACTTGATTCCCAGCACCATGATAAGATCTAATAAAGCCTTCCAACCTCAAATTATCCTGACAACAGGCTATTTCTTTTTGAAAAAGTTTAAGGCTGCTTACAGAATGAGTGGGCTCTGGAATGTGGCATCTGCCCTTCTTTCCGGGAGTGGACACCTAGGAGACGGTTGCTCCAGGTGAGAAGCTGAGTGCCAGGTGAGACCATAAATTTGGCATGGGGCACAGATCAAAGACCTGGGGCTGGGAAGATGAGCAAGAACCCACTGTTCTGAGAAGCTTGTCTGAGGTGAAGACTCAGCTGGTGGGGGACGGTTGTCATGCTGGTGGCAGAGAGGCAGATGGAATGTCAAACCATAAAATCCCAGCTTACGACGATCTCTTAGTCACTTAACAAGCATCTGCATCCATCATGCAGTGAAAAGCAGGAAGAGAGCCCTAAGTGCTGTCTGTACCTGGGTGGCAGGACCTGGGTAAGAGTTTTCAGCCTGTCTGGATTTCGACAGGCCCGTCTTGGACCACCTGTGTACTCTCCACAGGGACCCAAGAACTACGTACCCGATGGTGTGTGGGGGTGGGGTGGGGGTGGCGTGGAGTGATTAGAACTGACAGGCTTGGGAGAGTGCTCACAGAGAAGGTGGGTATGAGAAGAGACTGCCCCCCAGACCCTAGATGGTGCACAAAGAGGCCTGCCAGAGTCTGGGCGAGTTGGGGAAGCAGACTGCTTAAGCAGCACGGGAAAACAGGTGCCTGGACGTCAGCCCAACCCGTCACCTCTGAAAACTGGTCTCTGGACAAGATGTCCAGCAAACAGTATCATTCCCGGAACTGGCTCCAAAGTCCTCGGTGTGTTTCTGACAACACAACGGACAGCCATTAGAGGTGTGTTCCTTCTGCTTCACCTGACAGAACAGGCAGCTGGAGACCTCTATGGAGTGTCAAGCCAGCAAGGGAGCACAGCCCCTAACTTCCCGTTCTCCGGTCTTGCCACCGGGCACCTCCCAGCCCCGCCTCTTAGCCTTCCTCCTGGAAACCCTTTGCAAAGACGCTTCATCGTCTAGGTCCTAACCACTCCATGGAGCTTTTCTGGGCGAACGTCTGTCCCAAAGCGGGCGAAAGGCGCCACTGAGCACCTTCCCGTTGCACCCAAGTGCGCAGAGGGGGTGCCGCCTGGGAGCTCCCCCGAGTTCCGCACCTGGAGAAGGGCGTGGGGCCGGCCCCCTTGAGCTGCAGCTCCCAGCGCTCGCCGGCCGCAGTGCACACCTCGCCCAGGTACATGGCGGCGCCGTCGCCCAGCTGCCCGGCGAACTGGCCGAACTGGTGGCCACAGTAGCAGTGCGCGGCGGGCTCGGCGCCCGGCAGCAGCGCATTGCCACTGAAGAAGAGCGCGGCTTCGGCCTCGACCTCGGCCTCCTCGCGGGCCTCCAGCCCCAGCAGCGCCAGCGCGGGCATCGACAGCGCCACCAGGCAGGGCCTCCGCAGCGGGGCGGGCCGCGCACGGCTGAAGCAGGCTCCGGGCACCGGCCGCGGGGTGGACAGGACGTCCTCGGGCCCGGGCGGCGGCGTCTCGACGGGCAGCGCGCGCAGGGCGCGGTTGTCGAAGCGCAGCCCCGCGAGCCAGCGCGGCGTGGGCTCCATGGCAGCCGCCCAGGAGGAGCAGGGCGCGGGCGACGGAAGCGCGAGGCCGAAGGACGGCGGCCGGGTTCGGGCAGCCGCGAGCGAGGCCCCGAACGCGGCCCTGAGAGAGGCCATTCGCCGCGCCGCCGGAAGCTCGCTCGCCACGACCGGAAGTTTTTCACCGCCCAATTAAGGGGTTGGCGGGGGCACGCCCAGAAGCTTGGCTCTGATTGGTTCTCGCTCTTGTTCGTCCACTTCCGGGCTTCGAGAAATTGCCGGGAGAAGTGGGCCTGAGATGCTCTCCAAGCTCTGGCACCAGTGCCCCGGGTCAGCAGAGTTCTGAAGCGCCCACCCAGGTGACATGTGACAGACTGAGTGAGGTCCCTAAAAGACCACCAGGGGCGCCCCCAACTAATGGGAAGCTAACAGCCATCGTTAGCCCGGGTCCCACTGGGTGCTTGGGTTTGGCTGGTTCTGTCCATCACACATAAAGCCAGAAACTGAATCTTTGAGCTGTTTTATTCAGAGAGCCAACAATCTAAGACAGTAGTTTAACAACCTAAAGATGTGTCTTTCATCTCATCTTTAGCCAGCAGATTATGTAGGTAAGTAAACAAAGGCTGTCAGTCATTCCAAAGTTTAGTCTTGCCCCTCTGGTCAGTCCGTCAATCTTGGTTCAGATTTATGCAGTTGGTGCTTTTCTCTCCATCATCCCCTCTCTGTAGCAGGGGGAGGTTTGCAAACAAGGGCCCGAGTCTGTCGTTCTTCCTGAGTCAGCTGTTTGGATAAGTTTTATGCTTAACTCAGAACACACTATCAATGTGTGTATGTAGATTCCTTTCTACAATAAAGTACAAATATGTTCTTAGAATGTAGAATATGCAGTGCCCTCCCATCAGGGCAATTTTTCTCATGTTTTGACCAGAGAAGGGCCAGAAATCTTGTCAGTGTTCCTGGGATCTGTGGGACAGGTGGGAGCTGGCCACCTAAAACTTAATACAGAGACAATTTGCATCAGCAATTGTACCAGGGCAAGGCTGAAGCAGAGGATGGACAATGGGTCAGGGTAGGGGTCTGAGCTTACCTGGAACCTGGGTTCCATATACAGAACTTCTCTCTGAAGTGATCACATTTCCTTTTCTCCCCATTTTGTGTCTGTCACTTGCAGTCTAGGTGGATATGAGCCTTCATGGCGGAGGTAGACAGCATCCAGTGCTCAGGAAACCTATTAGTCTCCAATAGGAGACTCTGAGCATGGACAAATGCACACATCCCTTCCTGGCTGTGTCTCTTCATTTCAGCCTCTGCCTTCAGTTCTAGACCTTAAGAATTCACATCTGGAACTTTTCCTGGGGCCACAGTGGGCTTCTAAAGCTACAGTGAACCTCGCCTGCCCCTGGAGCTGTGTGGTTACACGAGTGAATCTCCCTCCTTCTGCACGGGAGGTGGGATGATGTGTACGCATTCCTCTTTTTTGTGAGAGCAGGGCTATAGCACCTCAGCCCTGGCCAGAGCATCTGTGCTCTTGCTGCTGCCACCAACACGGACCTCACTGGCTTTGCTCTGGCCGGGAAATAATATACTCCCGCTCCCACATCTGTCAGGCATTGAAGTGTGAACCAGAGGGTATACAGGTGCTGAATGCATGCACTTGGCTGGCACACAGATAACCTTGCTAGATACTAGTGAGCACCAGGGGCCAGCCTGTATACTTTGCTGAGATGGATAGTGTGTACCCTGGGATGCAGGAGTACCTCTAGCATCCTGCAGACCTGGGGGCAGATGACAAAAGAGGAAGCCAGTCCCCATCACCTGAGTCCCATTTTCATACACTGCACAAAACGGGAGCTTCCAAAATTAAAATTTATTTCTCTTTCTAGGGAATGAATCCACGAGTGTGAGACAGAAGTACACAGCCCAACCAGCCCTGTATCCCCTGCCCCGCTCAGTGTTTCACCTGATTTGGCAGTCAACACAAGGATATTCAGAGTGGTCTTGGTCTTGCCAGGCTGTGCAGTATGTCAGGAGCCACAGCCTGTACACATGAATGGCTGGCGTGCACAAGCCAACCATGGCCTTAGGTTTGTGGCCCATAGTGTGTCCACTACTGTCCAGTTTGGGCATCCCACCTAGTGCACAGGAATCAGGTCAAGCCCCTCCCAGCACCAAGGGCAGCCAGGGAAGCAGGCTGATACTTGAGGCAGCCCAACGCCACACTGAGCTGTAGTAGAGTCGAGCAGGGGCTGCCCTGGACCCCCATCTGACTCTCTGACATACACTGCCCACTCGGGGCACACGAATACAAATAAAAAGACTTCTTTGTCCTCGCTGGATTTAAGGCTTGTATTTCCTGATATTTGCTTCAGTTTGTTTTTTCTTTGACGTCAAAATTACCTGAGTAAAAAACTTTTTGACATTAAAAAAACAAAAAACCAAACCACAGACTCTCTGCAGGTAGAGATACAGCTGGCAACGCCACATGCATGTCTAGGCCAGCCAAAGGCCTACACACCTACAGGAAAGAGCTGCATGGACACCCAGCTCCCCAAACTTGCCGGCCCCAAACCCACAGTGAGATGCACTCGGGGCCAGATGCTCCTGCCGGCCAGAGCACAAGGCACAGTGAGGTAGGTAGAGCAACAGCTTGCCAGGCCCACCCTGGGGTTAGGTGTGGGGCACCTCAGTGCCTTCCCTCAGCTTCTGGCCCTTTTGGAATTAGGCCGCTGGGTCCTGACACTGTGGACGGCCCTGACGCCCATGGGTGGCCCCTACAGTGTGTGTATGGGGCTGCTGGGAAGCCTGAGCTCAGACAGTTAAATATTCTTTATTTGGGTGGGCTGGGCATGGGGAAGGTGGGATAAGCCTGGCCTAGGCCCCCATAGGGGGTGGCTTGGATGTATCTGCACCCAGGGACATCTCTGGACAGGTGATGCCAGCTCCTCGGGAGCACCAGATGTGATGCAGAGGAGAAGAGCCCCTGGGTGTGGTCTCTCCTTTGCATGGTCCTCCTACCGGCCTGGCCGAGCCTCGCTCACCCTCTGGAGGCAGAACTGCGCAGCAGGCAGTGATAGGACCAGGTTCATGGTTCGACGGCCCATCCAGTACAGACTGTAGCCCAGCAGGCCAAAGAAGGCAGCCTTCACGGCCAGCCGGGACACTCTGCCCGAGATGGACGGAGGGGGAACTCTGTGGGAGGGAGAGGTGTGGTAGGCCTGGCTGGAGCATGTACTCCCAAGGTCTTCCCATCTATGGGTCACCACCACGTGCAGTTGCAGGGATTTCCAGGTGGGGTGGGGAAGGCACTCACGTCATGATCTCCTGGATGTTGAGGTCGGTGCTCCAGTTCTTCTCAATGCCAGGCACATGACCCATGCCAACAACACCCACAACCACAGATGGGACGCACTTCCTGGGCTCAGCTGTCAGGGGAGGGTGAAAGTCAGTGGCAGGCACAAAACCAGTATTTAGGGAGTTCCCACCCTGGCCTGTCCATCACCATCGGAGGCGCGGGGAAGCTCAAGGCGCCGTGCAGCCTGCCGCAGCATGTAAGTCAAATAGACATCACGCTCTGAGACAATGGTTCGGTGCAAGTCAGGGAACTCCCCGATCATCTCTGCCATCATCTGCTCCAATAGGTCCTTCTGCTTGCAGCGCTCCACATCGTCTTTGCTGAGGACAGAGGGCATGTTGCTAGCTCAGAGGGATAAACAGGGATTTGCTGGCATACTGTGGGGATGGAGACATCGGAAGTCTTGTGTTGCTGACTCAGGACAGGGACCAGAGCAGGTGGGGAATGTGCCATGAATAGGCCAGGGAGGCTGTCCTACCTGATTGGGTCTGACAGGAAGCACAGGCCCCAGGCCAGCTTGACCTTCTGCCAGAAGGAGAGTGCAGCAATGGCCCTCTTAAAGGTGACGGGGATGGGCCGGTCACCCAGGTGGAATTTGCAGAACGGTACCTTGCTAGCCTGAGGTAGAGGCTGGGTGTTAGGACTTGTGACACCAAGGAGGCTGCCACCAGCCCCCACTAAGGCATCCACAAATCCCTTAGGCCTAGCACCCACCTCCTTGAAGGCTTCCCTGAACTCGCCACCAGGGGCCATGCCCAGCTGCTCAGTGATGTGGGCAGACACCTTCAGCAGCAACATCTGCATGAGTCCAGACATGAGCCCATTCTGCAGGAAGAGGAACCATGTCAGCTATACTGCAGAGTGAGTAAGGCAAAGCAGTATGAAGATCCCAGGGTGCCCTTGAGTTAGGCCCCAGCCTATGACTGGTCTCAGGCCCCTTCCAGTGGCCAGGGACAGGCCATCCTGGGGCATGAGGAGGGTCAGACAACAGCAGGTCATCTTGGCTTCAAGAATCATTCAAATGTGTTGCCTCTGAAAAAAGTTTTCTTATAGGATGGTCAACTATAGAACTTCTCTATAGGATGGTCTTCTTTATAGAGAAGGAGCTACTGACAGGGACCACCTGACCAGGGGTCGGAGGCAGGCACAGGCTGATCCTGAGCAAACAGGCTGGAGCACCTAACAGGGAACCTCAGTACTTGCCACATCCATCTGCGGAGGGCAACATGAATGCCTAGCATCCACAGTGGCCACTGGCTGCCTCTGGTCTGGTCAGGCCCTAAGGTATGGATCAGTCTGCTGAGATTCCACCCTGCATGGCTGGCACTTCCTTAGGAAGGATCACTTGTGAGCTGCTACATGGACCGTCTACTCTACCTTCCCAGGAAAGTCTGGCCCTTGATTCAGGAAAGTGCACTTGGAGATAATTTATCCAATAGGAGTGTCCTTATTTACCTGACTTAGGGGATAGGCTGCAAAGTCTAGGCTGACCATGAGATTTATTTTATTGTCTGTTTTTTAAAATGTAGCCCTGGCTGGCTTGGAAACTTGCTTTGTAGACCAGGCTAGCCTTGGATATGCACACAGAACTGAACACACAGAAATCCACCTGCCACTGCCTCCCAAATGTTGGGATTAAAGCTGTGTGTCACCATGCTCAGCTTGTGGAGCTCATGGGTCAGGCAGTACCCGCTTACTGCTGGAGGAACTAGAGCTGATGACGTCAGCTGTGCCCACAAGGCCAACCCACAATAAAAACTGGACACCAGGACAGTGGCCCCCTGGTGGGCAGCACCTGTGCATGTTATCACACACTGTTGCTGGGGAGACTACATGCCATCTGAGACTCCTTGAGGGACGAGGGGCAGCAGGTGCCAGCCTCTCCGCTCTGTTGACCCTTACCCAGGCCCTCACTGTTGGGCCCAGCCAGCTGCCTGGCTCTTCTTCCAGTGGAGTATGGACCCTCTGTTTTAAGGAGAGTGCATGGGGGTTGGGGACAGGGATGACACATGACTGGTATTAAACCCACACCTGACTGAATGATGATTTCTTCTTACAGGGTATCCAGTAAGGGTCTACGGTGACACCCCTCATCTGGGAGATTCCGGGGTGAAAAGTGCTCAGCCTGTCTGGGACAGTCACATAAGACTCTAACACTCATTTCCTTCAAATAAGAGGAGGCGTACGCTGCAGCTGGGGCAAGGCATGCCTGTGCCCTCTGAAAAGCAGGTCACAAGGATGTGCTCCCAAGTGTTGCTTCCCCTAGCCCTGCAGGGCTGGGGCAATGTGGAAGACAAGGGACACACAGCAATGAGGTGGGCCAGACAGGGCTCAGACCCACCACTGCAGCCTAGGAAAACAGGCATCAGCTCTGCCCTGTCCCTGCCTTGTGGAGGATCCTTATCCATCTCCCCATCCAGTCTCGATCCTCTCTTGGGTGAGAGTGGGCTGGCAACCAGGGTACCATTGCGATGACCAGAAGGCTGGCCCAGGGAGGAGCCTGCCTGCCATCAGCTCAAAGGAGACTCTGGCTCTACAGAGAAGGGCAGAAGCTTCGGGCCCCTATGTAGCCTGGGCACCCAGAGCCCGTGGGGCGGCTCCTATGCGCACCTGCCTGACAGCCTGTTGGAGCTTCTCCAGGCTGACCTCCTTGGCCTCTCGTAGCAGCGTTCTCTCGTCCATCTTCAGCATGGACACACGGTACTGGCAGAGTTCCACAACGACCACATCCGGCTGCACCTCCCGGATAGTCTGTAAAGCAAGGGCCACACTCTAATAGAACTCTACCGGCACTTCCACACTGGACAAGGAGCCCACACCAGGGGGCAACCAGTGCTAACAGCCTGTGTGGCTTCGGTGACAAATGCTAGAGAAAAAGCAACCAAAGGAAGCCATGAGACAGCTTTCCTTGTCCAAATGAAGAAGCCTAAGGCTTTGAGTTGTGGAGCAGGAACCACTACTTATCACTCCAGGGGACTCCAGAGTTAGAAATACCTGCTGCACAGCTCTTGCCTGGTTGCCCTGGACTGTGTCCCTGGAGGACAGGCGGACACATGCATAGTGCTCACCTTCACTACATCCCGCTTGCTGTCGTCACTGAAGTGAGCAGTGCCCACCACATACACCTTGCTCCCATCCTCGGCCACCAGCTGGGTCACAGTGCGTGGAAGGTTGGGCCGCTCACGCCGTCTCTTCAGCTTCATCTCCAGGAGCAAGTTGAAGGCGTCCACATCAGCTGCAACAGCAGCAGAGCCACAGTGGGCTGGGGCCTGACGCCAGGGCACAACTGCCCGTGCACTGGTCCCAAACCCTGTCCAGGCCCTCAGGGAGAACTGACTCCCACTGGACACATCATCTCTGGCAGGCAGAGCACTTCACACAGCTGGCGGACCCAGATGACCGGGCAAGCCGCCTGACCACATCTGTGAGCAGAGCACTATCTGAGGGGCCCGGGCAGGAGCTCTCTCACCTCCGTCAACTGGACCCAAACTGTCATAGGAGAGTGCTGGGGATGGGGGGAGAGGGGGTAACCAGGTGCCCTGGAAGTGTCTCGGTCATACGCATGGCCGGACTTAGGGGAAGCAGAGGCTCTGGGCAAGCATAGGTTGGCAGCCAATTTCAGGATATTATAAGGCACCTGAGTGTGGTGCGGGGTTCCCGCTGCCTTTACTCCCTCCCCGAACTGGGCAGGCCACTGATGTCCCCACCCCCTCCCTGGGGCCCAGCATTGTGTCTATACCAAGTCCTGAAGGGAAACATACAGATGTTTTGAGGGTCTCCAGAAAGCACCCTTGGCACTGCTTCCGAGGCCCCTGATGTCACCACGGGTTCCATATCAGCCTGCAGAGGGAGTTCAGGTAAGTGTCCAAATACTTGGGCCCCACCCCACAGGCCAGGCACACACCAGACCTGTTGTACCTCCTTAGCAAGCCCAAGAGGGGCCATTTGCCTCAGGCCTTCACCACGGAAGTTCTTGCTGGACTCTAAAAACCCTAGTTATCAAGTTAGGTCTCTGTAGAGAAACAGCTAAAGGGGCCAGGGTGGCCACACCAGGAGCCTCACTCTGCTGTGTGCAACAGCAAAAGCTATTTCTGGGCTGGGAAGAGGGCTGTTTAGAGGATGTTCCACCAGCCCCCAGCTCTCCCTTACCTCTTGAGCTGGCTTCTCCTCTCCCTCCATGACTGGACAGCAGCTTCCTGACTGATGTAGGATGCCTGAGGAGACAGATAATAGTTCTTACCCAGGGTCCCAGGGACAGGATCAGGGATCACTGTGACAACAGAACTGGGTCAGTCTTGAACAACCCTTAGGATAGGACCTTGGCCTTCCCGTGCCTATACCATTGACGACTTCCTGCTTAAGTGTAGGCGGTTTGAGGTCTAGGGTCCTTTTGGGATGTGCCACACTGGTGAGAGGCCAGCAGCCTCCGTGAGTAACATATGGATGGCTGTGCACAGGGGAAGTCTCTGGCATGCAGGGGCTTTGACCCACAACAGGCGCAAACACAGTGAAGCAAACCTGTGTCTCTGAGGAGCTGCACTGACTCCTCTGGGGTCACTGCAGGACACAGTGCTGTGGCTGCTGTCCCCATGGTGGGAACCCCAGAGCCTTTGTGACAAAGCCACTTCAAGGAAACCCTCCATTCTTTTTATAACGATGGCCACAACTGTCTGGCTACCAGCCAGAAGGACAAAGACTAAGCAAGAAGACGGCATCCGGGGAGCCAAGACAGTTTTCCAGTTTAAAAGACCAAGAAGCCTAACATGAAAGACACTGTATTAGAAACTTGACAAGGGGCGGTACCCTGGTAACCAGTCCCTGACACTGTGGTTCCTTACTGCGTTACTGGGAGCCCCAGGGTTGGGGGCCCAGAGTGTCAGGTGGTACAGAGGGAAGAGTAACACACTGACCAAAGAGGACAGAGGCAGCTTCAAACTATGGCCCAGCAAGGCCAGCAGACTCACGGACCTACCAGTGGTCAGATACCGCCTACCTGGCAGTCATACATGTACACATTGTCTACACATTGTCTATGTGCCTGTGTGTGGGTATGTGCACATGTTTGGGTGCCTGTGGAGGCCAGAAGAGACAGATTACTCTGGAGCTGGAGTTACAGGTGACTGTGATCCGGAGGCACCTGATATAAGTGTTGGGAACTGGACTCAGGTGCTCTGCAAGGGCAGTTTGACGCTCTTAACTGCTGAGCCATGTCTCCGCCCCGCCCCGCCCCACCCCACCTATATAGTTTTAGCAAAAAACATGTAAAGGTATTTCAATTCCATGCTGGTGGGTTTCATGAATTATAGAAGCTATTTCCTCAAACAAAACAAAATCATCACCCATAA